ATATAAAGAGTTAAAAATCAGTAGATCTAGTGTCTTGTGCTTGTCAAGGAATTCCATTTCCAGTAACTCTTTCCCAAATTTTCCTATTTTGTACTTACAGACAAAAACTGATCCTGCTTAGCTCTGAGAGCTGATAAAACAGTGTAAAGCAATATGTTTGGATGTAACGTTGAGTTTTATTTGACTGAGATGAGACATAAGCATAATAACTGGTATTTGGCTTTCCCGTGTTCTCTGCCAGAAAACTCAGCAGAGGGTCTGTTGGCAAGATACATGATTATTTTCACTCTATATTTCTGTATAGATACTTCATAGGGAAATTTCACAGCTAAATGCTTTTGATTTGATTTCCCTTAAGTAGTGGTTAAAATAGAGCAGACTAGTCTTCAGAGAAAAAAGATGACCCAGCAAACCTAATGATAGTAGAAGAGAGAAAAATAAAAGCACACACTTAACAAAAAGGCTTATGAAGAAGTAGGTAGCATTAAAATGTAGCTGTATCAGTTGGTCATAACTCTTTTCTGTGACATGACACTATGTTACACTGATCATACAGATGTTGACACAGGCTTTTGATGGTAAAACATAAAATTTATGAAAATTTTGCTTATATCTGTTACTGTGTACATTTGAAGAAAAATCACAAAGTTGTTGACTATCACTTGCAGAAAGCCAGGATCATTTTTGAATCAAAGATGATTAAATAACAGAATGTTAGTATTTTATATTTTAACTGTTTTTTGCAATATACTGATTTTATATGTGGTTCAGAAAATTACAGTGTTCAGTGTTTGTCAGTCATTTGCAATGTTCAGTTTTTATGTCAGTTTTATAAGCTCTGCACTGAAGTAAGAACGGGTATATATATATACCTGTTATTGTCAGTGCAAGGGTAAATTTGTCATGTTTGTTAAAACTGAATTCTGCTCTGCTGATGAGCAAGAGTCTGCAGAGTGATTGTACTGACTAATTGGAGAATCAGGTTCGTTTAGGTGACATGTCTGCTGGAGAGATCACGTGAAGTCTGCTTTGGGTACAGCCTCCTGAAGGTCATTTTCTTATTCCATGAAAAAAGAGATGATGCTTTTGCAATTCACCAAAGTTCAGAGGGGGTGGTAGGCTTTGCTTAGTTATCTGGTCTGTGATGGATATTTAGTAACCTCCAGAATAAAAGACAGAATTGAGAGCTTATCAGAAGAAAAGCAGAAAAACCACCATAATGCTCATCTTTTTCTATATACCACATAATTTTGGTGTTAGAGACACTGGTTTATGTTGAATGAATAACACACGACCTCATGGAAGGGCCCCCTTTTACCTATCAAGGTGAATGTGAATTTGAAGTGGAAAAGTACAGCTGGTGATCAAGATAATGGAGGAGGAGGAGGACCTCCCTCTATCTTAAGGAATAGAAAAAGATTGCAGAAAAGAACATAGCCTCAGTGTTGTACTTTATTCCTTATTTTCTTTTTCCAATTAGCTCATTGTTGCCAATTATCAGAGAAACGATCTGACTTATAGTTGAAGAAAACTGATAGAACTAATGATTAAGATATCTACGTTTCCTATTATAACATGGATGGAAATAGATTTGGTTCTAATAGAAGATGTACTAATGTAAATAACAAACATAAGTTAATTAATATCTTACATAATGAACCCTGTGTACCTCAGCCCATATGAAATCAGAAACCAAAATCTGCTTTTACATTGTGAAATGCTTTTACATTGTGTTTATGTTTCCCCATATTTAACTAAGATGACAAACAGAAATTTGGAAATGTACTATGGAAGCGTGCATATTAGCAGGGTGCTTCTATGACTAGAAGCAGTGTTTACTCCACAGTTCTTCTGCATAAAGAGGTCAGAATGATGATATTATATCATTCATGAACTCTATAGATGTCCTGGGTTTAGCAGTAGCAGTCATTTTTTCTCTTTCTTAGTAGCTGGTGCAACGCTGTGGTTTTGACTTTCGGCCTGGGAACAGAGCTGATAACATTGGTGTTTAGTCTGACCAAGGACTTTATGAGCCTCATGCTCTGCCAGGGAGGAGGGGAAGCCGGGAGGAAGCAGAGACAGGACACCTGACCCAAACTGACCAAAGAGGTATTCCATACCACAGCACGTCACGTCCAGGATGTAACTGGGAGATACCTGGAAAGGCACTCTCTGCTCAGTCGGGCTTGTTTTTGGCGGGTGGTATTGTATTTTCTTCCCTTGTTATTTCCCTTATCATTGTTACTGTTGGTGGCAGCAGCAGTGATTTGTGTTATACCTTAGTTACTGGACTGTTCTTATCTCAACCCGTGGGAGTTGCATTCTTTTCGATTCTCCTCCCCACCTGCCCCCCTCCTGGGAGCCGGGGGGAGGGGGTTAGACTGCATGGCTGACTTGCTGACAGAGTTTACAACATGACAATAGACTTACCTCTCTAGATTGTAGCTTTTCTTCAAAAGGATATCTGGTACCAGCGACTTGAAAGAAACATGTATTTGTCTCATGTTTTCCACAACCAGCTCTTGGGATTACGGAATCACCATGTCACAGCAGCATTGGGTTCAGATCAGGAAGAAGCACATTTATGCTCAAGCCATTCTAAAGTAAATTTATTGACTCAGTTTGTCATAGTCAACATCAGGACAGCTTTTTCCCCCCCCTTTTTTTTCTTCTCCCACGATGTGCCTACCGTGCACCCTCCAGCCTTATTTAGTTTTTTTTTGTTCTTTCTCTGAGCTTCTTTCCCCTCCTTTTTACCTTTTTTATCTTGTATAACTGAGTCCTTACTGTGCTTTAGTTCTTTTTGCATTAGGAATCAGTTAGCAGTGGCACAAAACACTGAAGACTAAGAGCAGAGATAGATGATTATGGTAGGACAATATCCTGCTTTGGACAGGCTTCAGAACAAACTCTGATATTTAATGAATCAATATATAGTTACCATGGCAACTTTCAGTAATCACGTTTGACCTTGCAACCATGGAATCCTTCCTGTAAGAAACAGGCAAACGAGTATTCCATGAACCTTCATACCCTTAATTGAAAATGGAACATAATCCTAAACAAAGCCCTGAACAGCCTGGCAGCATCTGCGGTGTGATTAGTGTAAGGAAAAATAATGCACCAAGTTGTAGCTGCATGTTTGGAGTATTTCTTTGAGGTCATAAGTATGGAGAAAAATTTAAATTTTAAGTATTATGGAATCAGATTTCACCTGTATAGAATGAGTTGCAAAAAAACAAAACCTCAAAACCCCAACAAAACAACAACAGCAACAACAAAACAACAGAAGAAGACATTGCCTTTCTGTCTCTCCGTGAGTTTACTGTGTTTTATTTTCATGTCTTGAATCATGGCTTTTGGAGGAGGGGTTAGCAATCATAATGAATACGCATCATGGCAAATCTTGGGGTATATGATATCTTGTATTGGCAAGAAACTGAGCTGTTGTCAATTATTTTATTCCTTGCTTGCAATAGTTTAGAACACACTGTAAAACATGCTAGAAACAAACCATAATGAACCAGAGCTTGCAGAGTAACAGTGCTACCTCCATTGATGCTCAGAGGCCAATCATTGCTTCCTCTGATGCTTTGAGGCTAAGGGGCTCATAAAAGTGTAAGCTGCTGAAACAGCTTGACTCTTTCCTTGTTATGCAAGCATATGGTGTTCCTTCTTGTTTTAATAAATGCCTCTCTCGAAATATAGCTACTTATTATTTTCTGATTATTAATTTTTACAAGCTTTCTTTTTCTGAATTACTGACTGACACATGGCATATTATGGCCGCATTCTCTTGTAATTGTGCTGTTTGAACATAAAAAATCAAAATAAAAAATGAAAGCTTGTATTACACCTAGCAACACTTTAAAACATAATCAAATAAAAAATTTTAATATGTAGTTCTTGTTCTCTGGTGAGGTTTATGTTCAGGAGCTTTGTGATCATTCCCTGATGAGTCTTGGGATGGAACTATATCTGACCTCAATATCAAGCAGTTAAAATTATTTGGTCTTTTAATTCTCTCAAATTTTAGTCTTGTTTTGCTATGAAAGGATTTGCCAATACAGAAAACTGGGACAGACATCTGGAATCACTACCTCTCAGCTGAGTAGAAAATTCATGCTATGGATCTGCCAGTTTGCTGGGTGAGAATTGGGTACATGCCACAGCAGAAGTGAGGATGGATTTTCAAATGACAGAAGCTAGGAGGTAATGGAACATGTGTAAGTTAACACATGGTGCATCTTTCTCTAGAAAAACTTTTTTTCTAGATTTACCTTTCAATTGGCTTTAATCTAGTTAGTTCTGTATTTTCTGCTTTTGGAAAACTTTCCCATTTAATGTGATTGCTCTTCAGGCTAAGAAAACCATACATTTCAGGGAAAATATCTGATTTCTAATGAAACTTCAGTTTCTAAGATATTTAGGTACATTTGCAAGTTTTACTTGTAGTGTTCGTTCCATTAAGAGTAGGGTGCTGAGTGCTATGTATTAAGTAGGCCCAATGCAGTAAGATCTATAGACTCCCTTGTCATCTTCATCTTCTTTCTGAAAAACTTCATTTAAAATTTTGTAGATGTAAGAAAAATCTCCATGATCTCTTTCAGTCCTCCTGTGCACACTCATTCTATCAATTTTTCTACTGGTTTCAAATCAGTTGCATTTCTTTAGAGTCACTTCATGTTTAGGTAATGGCATAGTCTTAATACTAGCCCATGTGTCATTTATTTTGTGTAAGAAAGCAAAAAATAGTGATGACTGGTACAGTAAAAAGCTTTTCCTCTAACAAATAATATAAATCATACCAGAGAAACTATTTGTGAAAATTACATTTTATTGTAGATGCAAAATCTGACTATTAGATGCAAGGTTTTTAGATCTGCTTTAGTAAAGTACAAAATTGAATTTTGTGCTTCTTTCAGTTTTCTTCTGCAGGCAGCTCAGTTTAGGTTTGACACTTTTCCCCAGTTTTTAAGCATTAAATAGCGCCCTGGTACTGGTTTATATTATATTGCAATGTTTTATTTTTGAGCCTTCACCTTTTTTTGATTAAAATAATGTGATATGGCTGAAGTTACAGTATTTGACCTTCCAAGTGACTGTGCTCTTTCCAAAAGTCAGTCCAGCTGGCAAGAAGAACATGGCTTCGAATCAAGACCCATGTTTTATGTCAGCCTGTTTAGCTCTGTGAGGATCTAGCAAAGCTGGGCCAGGATGAGGCCAGGCTTGTAAGCTTCTCTTGGTATGGAGGCTCCAAATGCTAGTGCATCACTGATAACAGACAGGATTGAGGTGGCCAGGGCCAGGAGGGCTACCAAAAAAAAACAGAGAGGAAATCAGAAGAATATAACAAACATTATCCTCTTTCAGTAATCTTAGCACACTCTAAGGGAGAAAAAAAGATGCACAGAAGGCAGCATGAACTTGCATTGTTCTATAAAAATCTCTGACAAGATCTCACATCTTCTTTCAGTTCATATGAGCACAAAAACCTGCTTTTATCGAAGTGCTGGGAGGCCTTTACCATACTTCCTTTGCTCCACCCAGCAAGGCTTGCTGCAAAGAAACTGATGTGCAGAACCATTCACCAAGAGCTGTTGTCAAGTGTTCTCAGACAGAAACTTGCTCTTCCTTTCTTCTGTGCTACATCTGGAAGAAAACGGTATGTAAGAAAGGTATATATTCCAGTACAGTAGGCAATCTTTTGTAGGAAGGAGGGTCTGTCTTTGCCACAATCATGTCCCACAACCCACAGGCCAAACCTGGGAATCTTGGTAGCCAGTGGGAATTAGTGATAGGAAGAAAATCCAGGACATAATGGTTGGACTCTGATCTTAAAGGTGTTTTCCACTCTTGCCAACACTGGAAAATATCCAGAGAAAAGAGGTGAAAGATGCTCATTTTAGCTCGTTTTAAAGGCAGTGGACATAGACCATTGTTATTTTCAGAGCACCTCAAAATTCTCTCATGCTCGCACTGATTTTTGCTGCTTCAGATGTTTAGAGTCACATGCGGTGTTAAATTGAACTGATTATGTCAGGGAGAACTTAGGGGAAAGTGGTAAACTGAAGACCTTTACTGTCAATCCGTTCAGTTATTATATACCCTGTTGCAGAAAATCTTCGCAATATTACCTTCACCAGAAATATGATTTCTGGGAGTGTAAGATTATGGTTTCTTGAGGTCAGAGTTGTGCAAGTTCAGAGAAAGTAATCTCTTTCGTGACCACAGGAAAGGCTGTTATCCTTTCAGCAAGGTGTCTGACTTGAATATTGGTTAACTATTTTGTGACAGGAATCTCTTCTATGGCAATCCAGTCTGATGTGGACAAACAAGTAAAACTACTGATCATATATACATATATGTGTGCATATACAATCTACTCTCCTGCAAAGAGGCAAACTCTTGAAAGTATAAATGCATCTTAGTGTTCCTTTGAAGCACACTTCATGGAGAACACAATTTACTGTTTTAGCTAGTATTTCACTATTGTGGAACACAACGTCTTATCAATAGCAGTTATGAGAGCTTACATTACATTAGCGTTCAGAACTGCATAGGCTGTCATGGCAATTACCCAAAGAAAGAAGGTAGAAATATTAGGTAGGTATATCAGGTTAAAAGTGAATGCTATGAGGCCTATTTTAAAAGAATAAATCCTGTCTTGGGAAAAATAGCATGAGAACATACTGTATTTGAAGAAAATGCAAGAAGTTGCATTAGACAACTCATGCCCAGTGTTACATAGAGCCAAAAAAGAACCACAAAGATTCCCTATAGGTTTCTAATTTATTCTTACTGCATTCAGCTGCTACTTGTAATTATTTTTATTAAACATAGAAAATCCAGACCTGTGTGCTTAACAGAGGATGATGGGCAAAAGGGTGAAATCTAAAGTTCTGTGTTTCTTTAAGGTTACTTTCAAGCCTCTGAAAGGAGCAAGCCTCTGAAAGGAACAAGATCCCACATGTAGAGAAAGCAGAGGAAGCCATTTGCAGAGCATGACAAGGTTGCTACTTCTTAGTTAAGATCAATGCTATGCATTCTTGAGTGCCATCTACTGGCATTTTATTAACTATTTATATACACAAATAGAAAGTGCTCCTGAAACCTCTGGTGCTAACCACAGATGAAGTATTAGAGTAGTAACCTTTGTGCTCCCAGGTATGTCCCAGTATAACGGTTCCTTGCCGTTATCTGGTGCAAGGAGCTGAATCTTAAAACATGTTATTTCAATGTACAATGACAAAAAACCCCCACACCAATTTCAAATGTAAGCCAAGAAATTACGTATTTTAATGATATTCTTAAATGCAAGCTTGCATTTCCTATTTGTTTCCTGTTATTAGGAAATAAAATTTACTTGCTACCTATGTATATGACTCCTATCAGTGGGAGAAAGAAATTTTCTTTCGGCCAAAGCTGAATATTTTTGTTTTTTCAAATGAAATTCCAAATTTTTTTTGTTATATGTGCAATATTTTAGTTTATTCTTGTTTCTGAGTTATTAAATATTTTGGGGGGGGGGGGGTGTTTTGTTTTGTTTTTTTAAATTGACATAATTTTTTACACCAGTCCTTTTAAAATGAGAAAATAGTATAGTACCAAAGAATATTTAATTTAATATTTTTGTCATTTTCAAAATTAAGCATTTAAATTTTATTTAATTGATATGAACAACGCCAAAATGTTTGAAAATACAAACTTTTTATTTCCCTTGGTAGATCAGAGACATATGATGTTCATCTGAAAATTTTGGCCCAGCTGTATATCCCTTACTCTATCTAGGTTTGTCTCAAGGGAAAAAAGAAAGAAAGTGATATAGCTTTATGTTTTGAAGACAGAAATTGTTCATTCTCCAAACTGAACAGATAAATTTTATTTGATATAATAAGAGCTTGAATCTTTACTGCCACATTAATTTTAGCATGATTAGTCTAACAGGTGATAAATATGGTAAGTAGGAAAATTTTTCATCTCCAAAAGTCAGTTTTTCAGACCTGACTTCCCAGCTTACTACCACTGCTGAGATGAAGCTGTATTTTAGTACAAGGTTAGACCTGTCAGAGAAATGCTCATTTTGTTTGCAAAGTAGTTTCAGACGAATATTCCAAGCCAAAATTTGATCACCTCCATTACATTATGCCACTAGATTTGTCACTTCAGAGGCCAGCGATGAAGTCTGAAAGTGTGATGTTAGTAATAGAGTGCAAAGCATTTTTATAATAGTCTCTGGTCCTAGGCTATAGTGAAAATGGGTATGCTGAACTGAAGCTGAAATGAATACCAGCATTTCTAAACTGATTGAGTGGGCTGGTGAGAGAAGGGAACAGAAAGTTACAATATGTAGAATATTACAACCTTTTTTTCCCCTGTTTTCCTGCTGCCACTGTTGGACAATGAGTCTGCAGGATATATAAAGTCTTTAAGTTCATAGGGGAAAAAAAGATCTCATTGTCATGGGGACACAGGAGAGAATGAAATACACTAAAAACTTAATCTCTATTGCCTCACTGGTGGGATAGTGACTGACACCTTAAAAATAAATGTAAAAAGGTATAATATGATAACGCTTTTGAAATCAAAGTCACCCACAATACAAGCAATGGGAAGCCTCCACTTGTTGCCCTTATAGTGAGTCTTTTTTGGCAAGTTTGTAGCTGGTAACTGAAAAAGGTGATTAAAACAGCAGAAGCCACACACTATTTTTCTCAAGGCTTTTTTCCTCAAAACATCTCTGCTTTCCAGCCACCCTACAGGGCTTGCAGCTCCACATGTCAGACAAGTCCTGAAAACTGTCTTCCATCCCTTTTTACGAAGGAAATGGTTTTCCTTATCTGCTGCTTATTCCTAAACCCTGGCAAATCAAGGGAAAACTCTCTGCATCCTACCAAATCCCAGTGGTCTGCCCAACATATTGTTTTCTTGGATTACTTGAAGTCTAAAGGTATCATTCCATTTGTCATTGTTTAATTTTATGACGATTCCTCCTGATAATCTTTTCTGATTCCATTCCATAAAATTTCCCACTTTTAGAAACTGTATAAAACAAGCGCTGAATAATCTGGTTTAGAACATTTATTTGCGATTAAAATAACATTTTAGTTACTCCTAATCTGCTCTGCGTCCGAAAAGTTCTGTCCTTGGGCAGTTCTGTTCTCCATGATAGCTTGTTACTTGTGCTTTCCTGTACAAATTTTGATTTTCATGTGTTTTACAGCTATCCCCATGGTGCTCATTTTGGTTTCTCTTCTTATAACCTGTCATGCGTTCAGCTTTCCTGCTGTTAAATCTTGTTGTTTGGCAGTCTCACACTGAAAAAAAGTTAAGCCGTTTTGCATGAGCAGCACTTTTCCTGCAAAAGCTTTAAATATATATCCATGTTCTGTGAGTGTTTAATATATTTTTTTTGTCTTTCTAAGCATTGCAATCCTGGTTTTATCATAAGTTGCATTTTGCTGACTGAGAAGGATCTGTTCTGCAGCCATACACCTTGAAGGAAGCAGACATCTAGTGCATGACATTTCAGGCAACACTCTTCAAAGGCAGTTACGTTACCCTTTTAACACAGCAGATGACAGTTTGTATGATTCAGGTAGCTCTTCCATCACAGTTGTTGTCCTGTCCTTTAAACTGCTCAGTTGTGGGTCCTGTGACCTTATGAGCTAGCTTTGCTGTTAGTATAAATGGGAAGACCAAGCACTGTATCTCCACCTGAGAATCAGCACTTGTCCTACATCCCTGTTCACTGGCATGTTGATTTCACAGCAATTAATTTTAAAAAATGATTAAGCCAGTAAACACTGCAATTCAGCACATTTACTGTTTTAACATACTGATTTGGGAAGAAAATCCAATATGCTATGTGACACGCTGGGTTATCCTCCTGATCAAATCCATGGTGAGGCTTATCCTCTCTCTTTTTTTGTATTCAGCTTCATAAGAACTCAATTAAGCCTCTACAGTGGTAGTCAGTAATCTGTAGTGTTTCTCGCCAAGGTCCAACCAATTCCCTTCCTATCAAGTGAAACTGGTCTTTCAGTAACATAATTATCATTAAGAAATCAATTCTAGGAGAGAGCATCATTCCTTCTGCAGCTGAGAAGTAAGCTATACTTCTCCATAATAGTGCCAGTACTCCAGCATTAAAAAGCCTGCAGGTCTCCATGATTTATTTGGACAGAAGACTCAATTTAATTAGGCATATTCTTAACTTGCTTCTCATGACCCACAGGGATATCAGCAAATAGCAAAAGCTTCCAAAATTTTCTGAAATGCCCAGGTAGGTCACAAATATAAGACAACAATGTT